AAGTTTGTGGGAAAATTTCAGTATCTTTTAATTTAACTTCCATGAACTTCTGAAGAACTCTCATATTTTCCTTTCTCATTTTGGAGACAATTACATGTATTAGACTACTTGTGGTTTTCCCATAGCTCTGTTTTTAATCTTCCACATCTCTCCTTAGCATACTCATGCTTTCCTCTATCTTTTTGAACATACGGATAACAAAAATAACATTTAATGTCCTTGCCTGTATGTTTATCTGTGTCATTTCTATTATTAATGATTAGTATTTCTCCTTATTATGGAACATATTTTCCTGCCTTTTTTCTTTCTTTTGTCTTTTATGTACTCTTGAGCTTTGTTTGGGGACTCAACTATATTACATGGAAACAATTTGGACCTTTCTTAGCCTTGCATTTACACTTTAAGGATAAAACTAGAGCAACCTTTAAATAAACTAGTTTTTCTCCATATTACTGAAGGATTCAGTATCTCTCTTGAGTACTTAGTACCCCATGCATTGTGAGATATTTCCATTCGGAAGCTTTTGCTGGCCCTATGTAAGCTCTAGGGCTTGTTTCTCCTTTTCTTTAACTATGATTCTTTCCCTGACCCCTAGTAGTTTCCTTACACGCTTACATTGATCACATTCAGGGAAATGTACTCTAGGTTTCTGGAGTTCTTGATACAGCTTTCTGTGTTGCTGGTTTATAATTCTCTACCCTGTGAATTCTAGCTATCTTTGATTTTTTTGAAATTCTCAAGTCTGTCACTTCAACTTAGACTCTTTTGGGTTCCTTCTCTTTGCACTATTCTGTGAAAACACTGTACACAATAAGCTGGATTTTTATTGAGATCGCCATTTCTTCTCTAGATCTACCTGTTCCAATGTCTGAACACCCTTTTTCATATATTTTATATGGTTTTTAGTTTTATAACTTGAAGTGGAAATTATAATTCTTTAAATATTATGACTTTATTCTGTGTTTTGATAGCCAGTTTGAGCCAATACCTCCATATCCTAGTTTTCCTTTTGTAATTAAAATGACATAACAACAACAACAAACCCAATCAGATTTAAAAAGAGAACATTTATTATATTTCATTTAAAAATTTTGCTTAGTTGTACATTATTATTTTGGACAGATTTTAGAGTCACCTTGTTATGGTCATTAAGCAGTTCTGTTGGGATGATCCTTATTGAATTGCAATGATCATGGAACTTTTTTGCATAGTACCTGGTGTTGTTAAATGCTGTTGAGTCCATTCAGACTCTTAGCAACTCAGTGTATGGTTTCCGAGGAGCAACTGGTAAACTTGAACAGCTGACCTCACGGTTCAAACCGAAAATAACCGTCCAGCACATAAACCCAAAGCGCCAAATTATATGGGATTTTCTGGGAGTTTACCTGGGTTACCTTTTCAGTTTACTTTTTTTCATATCAAAGGTGTTAGAAAGTATTCTCTGGGTTTGGGGAACTCACTTCTTTATGTACTGTTTCCTGTTTATGTACACTTGTATTCATTTGCTAAATATTAGAAGGGAGATGAGTTTTAACTCCTTTGCTCCACCAATGTATAAGGTCCAAATGAGTAGCAAGTCAAGCCAGTAATGTTTATTGGGTAGTTTGCACTAATTTGCTAATTTGAAATATCCAAATACGCTTTTTATCATCTACTGACATTAAATTATTATTATTATAACTTTATTGTGTGTTTTTACAATTTGGCAACGCAAGTTCCTCTTCATTCTCTTGTTTGGTCACTTTTAGTATTTTGCTGTTAAGAATAATACTGATGTATATATTCTTGTGTATGTTATTAAGTGCTTTTGAGTCAGTTCCAACTCATAGTGACCATGTATAGGGTTTCTATGGAACAACTGGTAGAATTGAATTGAATTACTGACCTTGTTGTTAGCAGTCTAGTGCTTACTCTACAATGTCACACCAGGACCCCATAAAAAGACTGTTAAGTGCTGTTGAATTGATTCTGACTCACAGTGACCCTGTATAGGGTTTCTAAGGAACAACTGATGGGTTTGAACCACAGACCTTGTGGTTACCAGTCTAGTGTTTATCCTACAGTGCCGTACCAGTACTCCATAAGAAGTCTAGAGTTGTCTGCCTCTTCTTCCTAGTCTGTCTTAGTTTGTAAGTTCCACTGAAACCTGTCCACCATGGTGATCATGCTGGGATTTGAAATACACAGCATTGGTTCCAGTATCACAGCCACACATAAGCCACCACAGTATAAGAAACTGACAGATGAGTGGTAAAAAAGTAAATGTTGTTGTTAAGTGCCGTCGAGTCAGTTCCGACCCATAGCAACCCTGAACTAGGTTTCCAAGGCTGCAAATCTTTACAGGAGCAGAAAGCCTCATCTTTCTCCTGCAGAGCAGCTGGTAATTTCAAACTGCTGACCTTGCGGCTCGCATGCTGATTCGTAACCACTATGCTACCAGAGCTCTTTAGAAAAGTAAATAGGTTCTGTTTTGTTCTTAAGTTGCTGTTGTAAGTGCCGTCGAGTTGGTTTCTACCCATAGCGGACCTGTATAGGGTCTCCAAGGAGCAGCTGATGAGCTTGAACCACTTACCTTGTAGTTCAAACAGCTTTGCAGTCTGACGCATTAACCCACAGTGCCACACCAGGACTTTATAAAAGGAGTTTTGGTAGCTAGTGGTTACAAATCGATCTGCTAACCTCAAGGTTGGCAGTTCAAAACTACCAACTGCTCTGCGGGAGAAAGATGAGGCTTTCTGCTTCATTAAAGATTTGTAGCCTCGGACCCTATATAGGACCACTATGAGTCAGAACCAACTTCTAGGTACTTAACAACAACAACAGAGGTCTCTGTTAAGATGGCCTGTGTTGCTATGGGAATCCCTGCTGGTATTCCCTCCTAATAAAACTTCTCTTTCCTCTTGGAGTTGATTAATTTGGCTCCACTATTCCAGAGCACCGGAGTCCTGGTGTGGCACTGTGGGTTAATGTGCTGGACTATAAAGTAGGTTTAAACGGCAACGTCAGCGGTTCAAGCCCACCAGTCGCTCCTTGGAACCCCCCTATACAGGTTCGCTATGAGTCAGAATCGACTCGACGGCACAACAGTTCCAGAGCACCAGCCTTTATAGGGGTAACAGCTATCTAAATCTTGAATTTCTTTAAACAGATTGTTAAGTGCTGTCAAGTTGGTTCCAACTCATAGCAACCCTGTATAGTTTCCAAGAAGCGGTTGGTGGGTTTGAATTGCTGACCTGTGGTTAGGTTAGGTTGTTGTTGTTGTTGTTGTTATGTGCCGTGGAGTCAGAACCGACTCACAGTGACCCTGTACAGGGTTTCCGAGGGTGTAAATCTTTACGGGAGTAGAAAGCCTCATCTTTCTCCCGCAGAGCAGCTGGTAGTTTCGAACTGCTGACCTTAAGGTTCGCAGCCCGATTCGTAACCACTACGCTACCAGAGCTCCTACCAGAGCTCCTAGCTCCTTAGCAGTCTAATAATTATGCTATAGCCATACTTATTTTATTCTCTATTTTTAGTACCTGAAGTCATCCATAAGTGTCCTTGTATTTGTTTTGACTGTGAGTTCATTTTATTTGGAATTTTATCTTCGATAATTCTTTGAGTTTCTATAAAATATAGAATATCCCCAGAGGGTTGCTTGAAACATTGTTGTGTTGCTGTTGTGAAGTGCTGTCGAGTCGGTTCTGACCCATAGTGACCCTGTATAGGGTTTCTGAGGAGCAGCTGGTGGGCTTGTACTGCTGACCTTGTAGTTCAATTGGCTTTGCAGTCCGGCGCATTTACCCACAGCTGAAAATATTTCATAATAAATTTTTCATGAGGCTTTTCAGATAACATAGCTGCATTGAGTTCTAGTTACAAACTTAAATGAAGGGAAGTTTTCTTTTTCTGAGTAGACTGGAAGCTACGGTCAATATAGACAGCTTTTTTGCTACTCATTTCTGCACAGTGGGTACTTACCTCTCATTCACCATTATGGTGATTTTATGGTCCTGTGAAGTTTAATGAATGAGGGTAGGCTCTTAGCTTGCATTAGCTTTTATTGTTGTTATGTGCCTGTTGTTATGGGTGCTGTTGTCCAGTAAGTTCTCACTCATAATGACCTTGTATAGAATTTGGAAGAGCAGCTTTTGGGTTTCAACTGCCAATCTTGTGATTACCAGCCCTAGCTAGGCTTTATCTTCTGCATGTGTAAATATTCTCAAAACATTCATGAATGTCACCTGTATTAAATTTGGTAACTAACCCTGCATATTAAACCCAGTTTACATTTCTTCCATAATTCCCACCTTTTCTTTACTTTGTCCTTGCCAACTCAGGGATTGTTTAACTAAGTGCCTTTCTATTTTAACCAACGTTTTTGGTTGTTTGTAACACAAGAGTCTTTCTATATATGTTGAAAATGAAAGAAAATTAATTAAAAAAAATTTTTTTTTCTATTCAGTGAAACACATGCACCAAACTCAGCTTCTGATATTACTGTTGGTTTGGACAATTTTTGTAGGCCTTTTCAAAACTTTTTACCAAAGAGACAATTTTTATTGTAGTGTGTGTTAAAATTTTTTGGGATTAGTTTGGGCAGTAAGATGAATTGGCCTTGAACCGGTTTTCAAAAAATCTAGGAAATGTGTTTCCTAGAACTTCTGGTTTTTTGACAACTATTTCCTAAGCTAAGGCTGTTTGGGAAATATTTTCTTAAGAGAAAAAAATATGTTAGGCACTATGAGATAAGCATTGGACCACAAGGTCTGCTTGAACTGCAAGGTCAGTGATTCAAATTCACCAGCTGGAAACCTTATTATACAGGGTCGCTATGAGTTGGAACTGACTTGATGACATTTAACCAGCAAAGATTTATATAATATATTATCAGATTTTAGTTTTAGTTAAGGTACTTTTGTGAGTTAACTTTTCTTTTTTCTGCTTGGAGATGATCAAGTGTACTATAGTACAAATGTATCATTAATAATGTTATCTTATAAAATTATTTACAGTGGAAATATGCAAGATTTAACAGCACAAGTGACTAGTGGTCTCCTGAAATTCCCAGAAGTGACTATTCAGGCCCTTCGAGAAGATGAAATAACACTAGAATCTGTACTTCGAGGGAAATTTACTGCAGGTAAACTAATGTTGCTGAAAACTAACTGACTTTTAAGGTAAAGGGTAACAAGTATATATTGTAGTTTTTTTAATGTGGAAGAAAAAAAAGCAGCTTGAATAGAGTGCTCTTATATAAATATTTGTTGTTGCTGTTAAGTACTGCGGAGTCAGTTGCGATTCATAGTGACAACCCTGTACAGGGTTTCCGAGGCTGCAAATCTTTATGGGAGCAGAAAGCCTCATCTTTCTCCTGCGGAACGGCTAGTAGTTTCGAACTGCCAACCTTGAGGTTAGCAGCCCGATTCGTAACCACTATGCTACCAGATATACATGTGTTTATATATAAATATACATGTATAATATCTATAATCTTTTAGAACTGAAAGCATTTTCAGTGAATCTTTGATTGTGGCTGTTATAGTTCATTTTTTGTTATTAAAATCCTTATATATATTTTAGTAGTGAATTTTGGGAAGTCAGTACACAACTGGTTTTCCTTTAATCAGTCAATAAGATTTATTAAGGATGAGTTGGGATTAGAACCTAAACATTGTTATGCATAGGAAAATCTGATTGTATGGCTCTGAGTTTCATAAAATTTCATTGTTATTCCATTAATCTAAATAAGACCTTAATAAAGCTGGACAGTGAATAAGGAAGACCGTAGAAGAATTGATGCTTTTGAGTTATGGTGTTGGAGGAGAATATTGAAAGTGCCATGAGCAGCCAAAAGAACCAATAGATCCGTTTTGGAAGAAGTGCAGCCAGAGTGCTCC